GGCTGTACTGCCATTCAGCAAATTTGCACTTTCAGGATGTTGCGTAATCTTTGGATAATCCACTAAAACAATAATCATAAATTACTCATTGAAATGATTAATTACTTTTTACACTTAATATTATAGCGATTTCTATGACTTATAAGGATATATATAGGAAGATGTTAAAGTCGAATCAGAAAGATTTCTGTACACTGTTCAATATTTGAAATATAGCTATCAAAAGTAATAATATTTCAATTTGATGCTTCATTACAAGACATTTGCTAGCAAAAATCGATAGTTTATTTGGAATTATAGTTGTCAAGTTTGGATAGCTGTGGATGCAGTGATCGAAGTTTAAGAAAAGAGCATAATACTTGAAATACTATTCGCTGATGAATGCTTTAAACATATTTTCTCTATGAATTAAATTTTTACAGCCCCCCCCCCTATTTTGTATAGGGGTAATTAAATCAGAATTTTGAAGGCAGTATACTTCATTAAATAGTTTTGACTCCTCTCGGAAACTGTTATCTCACAGAGTAAGATATTAGTTATTTAGGTCTGTCGTTTCCCTAACCGAAATTATTGGTGGCATTGCACAAGCTAGATTAGTATTAATGATTAAAAAATTATGGCATCAATAAAAAATTTGAATAGAATGATAATCTTCCAAAATTAAAATGCACTATTAACCAGAAAAGCTCAATTTAGAGGAAGTATCTACTAATAGGAGTCTAGATAATTTAACGATAAAGCTTAGAAAATAAATGAGGAATTTTTAAACTTACATGAAATGAATATCTTTGCCTTAATACCAGCTGATAAACCATAAGATGTCGATTGACTGTTCCAAGCATATTGGAGTAGTCCAAAAGTGGCATTACTATTGTTATTAGCCAGCTTATAGGTACCAATACCTACAGGAATGGAAGCTACCATGTAGTTTTTATTCCTAAGTGTCCGTATTGGTAGCCAATTGACTTTAGGAAATGCAGTCCCATTCAGTGTTAGCCCCTCTTTAAAACTTTCCTCTACGATAACTTGCAAATAATTAACCGGAAACAAAGATAAAAAGTTGGATATATCCCGTGGAACATTGGCAATATAATTAGAATCAAAATCATCCACTGATGGAACAGCAATTATAAAAGGATCGCCAGTGATGCTGTCTGCAGTGATTCCTACTCCATACTTAACAACCAAACATGGCCTATCACATACAAGATTAGTTCCTTGACCGCTTAGCAATTGAAATTCGTAAAATGAGCCTTGGCGTTGCAAGATAAAGGTCTGGAATGGATAGGATTTCGTCACTACAGTATTATCATACGCTGCTATGACACGATAGACTGTGTAAGCCTTTCTACCATCTAACGCCTTTAAGATATAATTTCGACCTAACGCCTCGATAGGAGGGAGATGTTGGACTAAAACATCACAGAAAGTTACCCCAACTGGGACGTTAGCACACTTATTGCCGGTTATAACTGCAACACCTTTGTCCGATTCAATTACTGTTCCAGTCAAATCATAATTTATTTGATATAAAAAGCCTTGAAATTGTTCTAATTTGATAGATAATGGTCGATCGCGAGTATAAAGTTGACCATTGTAATAGGTACCGCGAGGAAAGCGAATGCTAACCGTTGTATCATTTTGATGGGCTAAGATTAAAATTCTTGCATTAAGGGCTGGTACATAAGTTGCTGCTACGTATTTCTTACCATAAAATGAAGAAGGTAGAATTAGACTTGCGTCAGTAGTGAATTTAAATATTGTGTATAATTTGACTGTTATATCATGATCCGATAGAACATGGAACACTTTGGATGTTTTTCCTGTAGCATCATTTACCATGAAGTTACTTATACTAATTGCTACCGTTTCATATGGAGCAAGAGTACGTCTAACGGTGCTTTTAAAGTAATTGTTGAAAATAATAACGTTAGCAGTTTGATTATATGCCGTTAGAAGGATATAAGGTATTGGAGTATTTGCTGAAGGATGTTGGCTATAAATTCCGAGACAGAAATCCCGACCACGACTCGAAACTTGCTTGAAATCTATTCGAAGCAAATATTCAATCAAAAATGATAAACAAATGAGTCGATATTTATACAATAATAAACTGTGCTCCAATATTCATGACGAATTGTGTGCAAAATGTCAGAAAGCCATTCTACTCCTTTTAGTATAAGTAAAGCAATGATATTTCGTAACTAAAATAAAGAAGTTTGTTCTCCTAATGTGAGTCAATATTTGTTCTTAATGAGAGCGAAAAAGCAGCAATGACAACAGCGCTGTTATATAAAATTTAACAGAATAAATAAATAGCTCTTTGCAATTGATTTAGTAGTAGGAGATATCGTTACATGAAGCAATGCAGCACTGAAATATAGGTCAACGTAAGTAGATATCATAATAGAAGGAGTAGAAGTTGATTCAATAAGACTAAAATGGGATTATAGAAATTGCCTTTCTGCTAGATGAGAGAAAGCCAAAACGTTAGACTAGATGTTATTGTGCAAAATGAGCGTTGCTAATTACTAAAAAGCTGCTAAAGATGCGATATACTGAGTCATACTAACTTAAATTTTAACTGTTTGCTGATGATCATAACGAAGGTCAAAATATTTTTACAACGAATAATGGTTGTATAAGATATGGTAGGGTTCTGAAGTACGAAACAAGAGCAGTTTTTTCTATGCAACACTAAACGAGGTATTTTGGCAGGTGATCCTAATTAGACCCTATTACCTTAATATTGGAGCATAGCAGCATAACATTAAGCTTTAAAATAAATATTCTACTTTGTAATTAACGAAGAAAGTATCGAAATTTCTTATAGCTGTAAATATCAACAATAATTGGCATAGTAGCTCAATTAAACTAGATGAAATAGGGCTTTACATCTCATTTCGATCTACAGTAGGCCATACGTAAAGCTAAAAAAACCACAATTGATATAAAGTACCAATAGTAATATATTAAATTCGCATAAATATTCATTAGACTTTACCAAAAATCCTGATGGATGCATTGCGGCTCAGAGTTATTCCTCTTGAGTTACTAAATTGGCATTGGTAGGTGCCAAAATCATTTATCGTAGCTGCCGATATCGTCAAACTGCCATGGGTAAGATTTCCCTGAATCGTTGCTGTACCATCAGTATTTGCTATGGGGATTCCATTCTTTAACCAAACTAAAGTTGATGCAGGATTACTGATTCCTGTACACTCTAATTGTATAGTTTGTCCAAGAGTATTATTTTGATCGTCTGGCTGAAGGGTAATTACCGGAGGAAAAACTAAAAATAAGAATTTAAAATTATAAGAATTCCACTTATGAAGTTAATAGTAGAGAATAAGCAATTTTGACACGGTCACACACCGCGTGGTACATTTGCACTCAAGAGATTAAAGATATCTGACCTGTTATTAATATCACTAAGTCAAGAAATGGAAATAGAATACTCAGCAGTTTTGTTATACACTAAATAATACCAACTGTCTGCTATAATTGATTAGTTGATATGCTATAAGGGAAAGCATCATATAAACATGTATACTGAGTCTTTGCATTTATTTGATCATTGCTACTTATTAATCTTCATGAACTACTCACATCTACGTTATCGAAATGGAATGATTTACATCTATAAATTAACAGTTTCTTTCGTAAGCAATCAACTGATACAGCATTATTTTATATATATATATACATTATATATATAGTACTGTATTACTACATTAAAGTACAGAAGTGACAAATACGCTTTTAAATTACGATAATATCTTCTGCTTACATGTAGTTATCGTGGTGTTTTCTCGTATACCACCCATAAATCCATAGGCTATCCCTTGACTGCTCCAGCCATACTGAATTAATCCAAACGATACTTGATCACTGACATGGCTGACTGTATATGTAGCATTGGTAATAGCAATGGATGCGCAAGCATAGTCGAGACTTCCGTTGGTAAAAACTGTATGCCATGTTATTCCAGTTAAATTATTACCATTCACGAGTAATCCATCACGATAGCTTGCTGGTATCATCACCACAAGGTAGTTATGATAAATTTGATATTGACTTGTCGCTATGGATGGAATATGGACGATGTAATTGGATTTATAGTGTTCTATGGCCGGTACAAGAGTCAGGAATGGATCAGATCGTTGACTATCTGAGCCTCCTCCAATGGTAAACTGAACAAGCAAACATGGCAGATCACAAACTAAAACTGTTTCTTCGTTATAAAACAACTCAAATTCTGTATAATAACCCTGATTTAAGGTATGCGTCTGAGATAGAGATGGAATATCAACGGTGGTATTATCATAGGCCGCTACGACACGATAGATATTACCGGAATTTCTGGCAGACACGGTAGAGAGAACGTAACTTTGGCCCAACTTTGACGCTGGCAAAAATTGTTCAAACATAGTATTGCAAACACTACTTTGGCTAGGAATATTAGCGCACTCATTACCCGAGAAAATACCGACAGTTTCATTAGACTGCATGATTGTTCCAGTTAAATCGCTTTTGCTGTGGAATTGAAACACTTGATGTCTCTGCAATGTTATATTCAGTGGATAGCTTCTATTATAAATTCTACCGTTATACAAGGTATTTTTAGGGAATGTAATATTGACGTGAGTATGTTCTCGATGAGACAGAATGAGAAATTTGGCTTTGACAGTTGGCTTATAGGTTGCAATAACATATTTTTTGCCATAAAGTGGAATCGGAAATATTAAAGAAGCTTCAGAGCGATTTAGATACGGCTGGTAAGCTGTTACTTTGATTTCTTGATCAGATACAATGCGGATAATTTCGGAAGTTAATCCTATGCCTTTGCTTTCGGTCATACCAGTATAGTTAATTGCGAGTGTCTCGTTTGATTCAACGGAATATCGCTTACTCTTGTTCAAATGATAATTGAACACGTTTACTGTTGCAGATTTACCAGATGCGGTTATCAGGAAATAAGGATTAACGGTAAAATTTGAATACTGCCTAGGAAATGAGATGTAAAATTCTCGACCTCGATTGCTGGGCTCTTTAAGGACTTCTATCAAAAGTAAAGCCGTCGGATTTTAAACAAGAGTACATTTCAAAAACCTTACATAGTATTTAAAATTAATTCATTCACATTTATGCTAAGAAACAGAAATAGCTTTTCAAGGCAGTATGAATTATTATAGCTTTGTGACAATATAAATCAATTAATACAATGTAGTATTTGTCTGGAGTTTTTCTATAACTTAATTCCTTATTGAGCATCCTTAAATAAAGAATGTATTTTTATGCAAGAATAGCAGTCAAAGATATAATTGGCTTTGATTCAATATCTGTAACTGTGAATCTTAAGCATAGTAGAAAATACTTTAATTGCAGCAATCAGTGATATTATAGACTTAGTACTCTATTCATGATTTTATATTATCATAACCTAAAGTAATAGAATTAAGTACGATTTGTCAGTTTGAACTGAAATGGCGTTAATCCATAATTAGAACAGGCATTTAAAAATGAGTTACTCGAATAATATGCTAGATGTGGCGAAAGATATTTGATTCTTCTACTGTACATGGATGTCATAAGATCCAACTATTTCATTAACTTTACATCGTGCATAGCATACCGTAAACGATTATGTGGCCGAACGACTACGGACTGCTTCATTAGTATTGCTGAATTCGCAGCGATAAGAACCCTGATCACTGTTACTGGCCTTTGACAGAGTAAGTTGACTTGAAAGACGGCCAAAAGAATAACTTTTGGTGAAGCTTGAACTCGGCATAAGAGATCCATCCTTAAACCATTTTATGACAGTACTTGAAGCACCGAAAGCTTGGCATGATATTGTAACTCTGGCATCTTGAATAACAGTCGTACTTTTAGGATGTAAGGTGATTGTTGGAAGAGCTATAATATAAAATACAGACAATATAGATAAATTCAGAACAACTAGCTGAAAACATTCCCTTCAGCTACAGGTTGATAAACTGATATTTTAACTAATGTAATCATAATCAATTTCACCTGCTTGGAGTTGTTCAGGTAGAGTACCAACCAAAACAGCGAACAGCAGCAGTGTTGTCACGATACGCATATTGCTTTAATTAAAAAAATACAGCAAAAATTAAATATTAGCAGTAGCACAGCTAAAGCTAAGGCGACGCCGCTTTAAAAACAGTCATCAATGCATTACTTAGCTATAAACTACAATTAAGAATTTAACTGAAACTTTACAGCGTACGGAAAGGGGTAAGAATGAATGCTTCTGACGCTGTCTTGTAGACTTAAGGTCTACGATATTTGAATTGTGACATGGCTACAATCTATGAATATTTTTCTTAGAACAAGACTAGCGTATTATTATATTCCAGCCATGGTAATGTCACCAGTTCTCAATAATTGTTACAATTTGATCGTATTCTGATAATCTCTGGCTTCCCACATAAACAAGCTCATAAACGCGATTATACGTAAGTCAGTTCAATGGTAATATATCATAACTACTTTGAGCGGTAATTTTTTCAGTTAGTTCCATAATTATCATCAAATGAGATTATTTATAGCTAAAATGGAACTACAGTATTTTATTAAATCCAATTCATACGAATATTATCAGTTGCGATGGTATGAAAGCGGATAGCTGGCACCTACTGGAGACTGGAGGCAATTGAATTGTTTACTTGAATACTACTTGCATAAATCGTCGAAACAAATGTAATTTTCCATCTGCTATATTACCAATATGCTGCTTGAGATAACCGCTAAGTAATCTATCCTTCTTGCATTAATCTTTGTATTCAATAAACTTACGTAATCACTAGTACTTTGTATCCAAAACTATTTAGTTCAATGTAATAAGGCAAATACTCGCAAAGGTAATTATATCGTACCTGAATTTAAAACTAACCAATTTCGAAATCGATCAGCCGGCTCGTTATTCTCCTGGCTTTTGACGTAAATTAAATTATAATTTTACCTTCCTAATGGAAGACAATCGACCTTCACCGGAGTCTAAAAACTACGAGTGGACTTGAAAAATGCGTGACTAAGCCAAATAACGTTGATATATAAAGGTTCCGACTAATTTACTGGAATAGATTTACTACCACAGTAAATGGTAATTTGTGGACCTGGTGCGAACTCTATTCAGTGTACAAAAACAATGAAATCTTTGATAAAAATTTTACCTAATATTTGAGCAAATTGTTTATCTAATGTATTTGTCTAATTAAGTGTGCTATCCTTGTATACTTTGATGATACACTAAACCGCTTGATTTGCATAACAATAACTACTATTACATACTGATCAGTTAGTTGAAAGCCATAAGAAAGGCCAATGCTGGTCACTCATAATGAAATAAAAAGACTTTTCTAGATTATGCATACAGTTATTTCAGTCATGAAACGTATCTAAGTGTAGTAAACATGTTTGTCTGGCCATAAAATAAAATTAATACAATAGTTTTCATGTTTTACCAGTAAATTTTATAAGCATTTTCAAATTGAGCAGACAAACTGAACACATACGACATTGTTAGGCGTTTTAGTGACTATTTATCAACAGGTGATAAAGAGATCATTGTAGTATAAAAGCAGAATGGCTGTTGGGATTTATCTCTGATATTGAATCATGATTGGATTTCAAATAACTAATAAATACGTGCATAGGTTGAATTAAAACATTATCAAATCTAGCAGCAGCTTTCTCCACTAGATCCTATAAACCCCGTTCAAATACATGATAGTCATCCTACGTCCTGTAACGTAAACGATAGTTATACTGACTCAAGAATAGGATTGATTGTGGATACGGTAAGGAGAAACTGAACTTATAACTAATTGGAACAATAACATGATTATCAGAGACTTGCCCTATTTTATCGGAACATATCATAATTAAACGATAATTAAATAGTATTTAAATCCCAAATTACAGTTTGTATTTCATTCTTTCGAAATTTATTGAAAGACATCCATACTGGAAATTGTTAATAGACGTGGGCTTAAATTGTAATAAATTAATCTATGTTATGTTTTATTCACTTCATTGCAGATTATTAAGCGTTTGAAAATTTTAATAATATGTAACTACCGTACTATAGGAAAAAGCTTTTGCACAAAGGATCAATCGTTAATTTTATCTACTATTTTTGAAAGCGAATTTATGTGAAATCTGAAAATATTTGATGCCGTAATTATGGTAATGATAATCCTCCACTAATATGAATCAAAAATACTTTCGCTGAAACAAATATTACTAATCAGACTTGAGTATAAAGATGGGATGATATTGCAGAACTATGCCGTGGTATTATTCTAAAACTAGAATAGACATTAAGACAGTCACCATTTTTAGAATCATGATGAGGTAATAAATCATTTTATTGGTCTATTTAGTATGTAATACAAAGAAACCTTGCAGTATTGTTTTAGATTGAAATTTTATATCTAAATGATAAAATGCTGAGAAGAAAGATTACGATCACACCCATTTTTTAACATGTAATTCTCGTGACAGAAACATCCTTTACTAATTACTGCAATGCTGTAATCATAGGCTAGCATATCATATATAATTACATTATAATCCTCAGCTTTATCTTGAATAGATCTGCAACTGAAATATTAATAACTATGATCTATTGCTACTATCATTTTTTGGTCATACAATACATAAAATAATTATTTATAATTTTACATGCAAACCAAACTTGAATCAACAATTAGTTGTGAATTGTAGCAGCAATTGAAAGCTAGCAGATCATATAATTAAATTATAGCCATTCACTTCATCTTGAATAGATCTGTAATAGAAGGATGCTAAACTTAAATCAACAGCTGGTTGTGAATTCCATCTATAAACGGATTGATACGTCAACAATTACTGTACAGCATTGTCTCATTAAATTTCGTTTCTCAATTATTAAAGAATATACTTATGTCCTCTTTTTTAGTGCGATAGACCAAAAGAATGATCTGGTTGGCTTTAAATGAAAGAAATCGTTTGTATAGCCGACTGGATTTCTCGAATCCTACCATTTAATTTACATTATCTTTACACATTATGAAGCACCGACATATTTCCAGAATTCTAGTTGAACAAGCTTTTAAACTAAAAAACGTAAGGCCCGATTAGGAATAACCAGAAGGTAGCTGACAGTTATATTACTTGCCTAAATGCTACTCCATAGTAGTATTCCATCTCTAAATGTACTATTACACTAAAAGTTCCTAGGATAGCCAAACTTGACTCATGTGTTTCTTAATTGGAATCTAAAAATTCTACTATCCTTATCGGTATAGAACTTGATTAGAAGGAAGGTAATTGATATACTAAAATTATTAAATTATAGTTGTCTAACTTAATTAATTCTTCTAATAGTACAAGGAAAATAAATCGTGAAAAAGTAACGCTTAGAGAGATTTGTAGGTATTAATTGATGATTGTAGACTTAGCAGCCTATAGAAGGCTTAATTTATAGTGGATTAGCTCCAATATGTTCGAAATCTTATTAGATGTTGTTATGCATTAGTGGTAAACTTTAATACTAGCCCTTCAGGTTCGAACCTCACACTAATCTAATTAAGTTACTAGAAAATACGGGAAGATAGAGAATTTACGAGAAACATGCACGTGCGAGTTTACACGATGCATCCAATTATGAATTTAAGTATATGAGAGAAGTTCTGTACTACATATATCTTAAGTTGTAAAGTACTTTATGTATAGATGTCAGACATTATATCGTTCTTTTATACTATAAAAGAGGTTTTTGATAAGAAGGCGGTAGAATCTAAACTGACAGGAATAGTTAACGAAAACATTTCTTTTTCGTATTTAATAGCGCAGCAAGAAGATCGTTATCGACTTCAGTACCGCTAAAATCTTGATATAATAAGCTATTTCAGGAAACTTCTCAGTTCTATAATACCCTTAAAGCTATAAAGACTTTTAAGAAGGTCTTTCCCATGACGACTATAAAATTAGAAGCTGAAAGGAATCACTAACCCAAATATAGTCAATTTAATATGTGCGACTGTAACTGTGGAAACTCGTCGTCGACTTTTGGAACTGCCTAAGTCTTAATATTACCAGATAATTTCGCGAAAACCCTCTAAACTCTATAGTCAAGCAGTACATATGCTGCCATATTGTTAGCGTGAGCTCAGTATATGATTATTGTAAGTTGTAATAATAACATAACAAAACTTCTACCGAACACGGTACTTAATATACAAAGCAGCATGCGAGTATACATTTTTCAGTCGAAATGCCTAACAGTATGTGATATACACCATAGTCAGCTACTTAGTTACTAATTATACCACTAAATCATCGGACAACAATAAATTACGACAACATAGTAACTGCAGCTTCAATAAAAGCAAATGATTCTCATACTATTACTGTATTTTTAAATATCTGAAGGAACCAGTGTTTAAACACCCCTAAGTATAGTGTCTGCCGCTTCGATAATTATAGTTCATACACTATTATAACGAGCTGTCTATACAATTTCAAAATTGAGTACCCGTGCTTTGTACTATGCTATTTTTTTCAAAAGTCATCGACAGTATCTTACGCTTTCTTCAGTATTAACATATTTCACTCTGCTAGACTTATTAAATAAATATACCTGGCATTAATTTTAATTATAATTGAAGCATTGATCGAAATTGAATTACTCTACGCTATACAATTTAAGAGAGATCAATGATTCGTTTGTAGAACAGGTGGTATAGCAAGTTAATCTGTGCATATAAACTAGAAGCTGATTTGTTCATAATAACCTCACTCTCCGTTTGGCCGTGATGGCTTTTCCCAAAAAATCGGCTTTTACTTTATGTATATCTCGATATAGCATTAAGCGACATAATTTAAGGGAATTAATAATTCGCTCGTAGAACAAGCTATGTACTGTAGCTAGTTAATGTTTATGTAAACGTACTACAGTATAAACTGACCAAATTTTGTAACAAAATTTGGCTTTAAAGTCTGGCAGAAATGTGTACTTTACTATGAACACCTGACGATAGCAATCGAATTGACGATATACAGCGAAAGCTTACTTTAAATGAATGAAGAACTGTTAACACATTTACTGTTGTACTTTGCTGAAATTACTACAGGGAGACCATCAGGAGTAAGTGTTGTACTGTGGATAAATTTAGGGAAAAGCCTGATACAATGCTGATCAAATCATTAATATTAGAATAACTATCTCTAAATGGATCAGACTTAATTGAATTTGATTTAAAACAAAACTATTGAGAACGAAGTTCGAAAATTTATTCATTAACATAATTGACTCATTTTAGAAGCCATAGTAATCGTTCAGACATGTGTAGAAAATATACAGTGGACAGAAATTCTACGTCTAGTGCCATCTATGGCATCGAACCAAATCTATTCATTAACGGGAAATTGAAATCAAAAATCCAAACTCAACTGTATAAAACGTTCTATATCGTGTGTTGCTATTCAACCAAGATGGACCTTCAGATATAAAAATTCGAAGGCGATCATCTAAATTGCTTGATCAACAGATTCACCTAGTATTGTTTCGTTCCAATGAGTGGACAAAATATTTTTGATAACCAAACAATTAAATTTTACCTTCTGTCATGTAGTTTTGTACTCATATAAATAGACTATATTATTTTTAATCGACAACTAAGTAAATACAGAGAAATCATGGCTTTATTACTTTAAAAGTGACTTCAGGCATAGCATGTTAAGGTAGGACAAAAAACTAATTTGTCGCTCTTTGACCATGCATTGTAGTCAGATGTGATCAATTCCTCACTAGAGCTACAGCCTATTGCACGGCACTTACATTATATCATACTGATCTAATGTTTATGATTCTGACATGATTACTATTACAGTATTTGACGTAGTTATTGTATGATAATATAATGTAGTGGGAAATATTAAGAGAGCAACACTAATTTTCAGGAAAATTACGATATTCTAACGTAAAGTTATTTCACCCATATTAAAAATGATATATATTGTACAAGAACTTTTCAAGCGTATTTTTTGTCACTGTACAAGCAAACTATGACGATAGGGAATGCATCAGATTGATACGAATAACCAAGCTCCTTTTACTCCATCAAATTTTATGGGTAGTACACTTTAGCACCAAACTACCGGCGAAATTTAAAAATGTGCTGTGCAATAAATGTACGAATATAATATATAATGGACAATTACACTGTCAACTAGAAACCTAACGGACGAGCGGTTACTACGGTATCGTCTTGACTAACTTCGCTGGCAATTTGAGTAAAAGCTGCATAAGTCGTCAAATTTTCGGGATTTTTAACTTTTAGAAGATTTCTTTCTACGCGGCTACAGCCCTGAAATAACGTTACAATTGCCAAAATGAGGATAGGAAAATTTTAATAAAACTAATATCTTAACTTAAAACAGCATGAAGAACCGGTAATGCAATCTGCGCTAACCTCAGTTACATATGTAGTCGCTAATAGTTGTTCATGATTTGAAGTCGACAAGCCCTGATTAATAGCGCTGGTAGCTCTTGCTAGTACAGCAGTCATGACATATAAATCGATTGCGGTATCTGCCAAACGTGTCAACAAAAATTGTTGATTGCCAATATTCTTGCCATGCTTAAGTAGTAAAATTCGTACTGCTGATGCAAACTCTTCAACGCATCCTGTTACTTTTATTGCAGAATCACGTAAAGAAGGGGCAACAGCTTCAATTAATTTTTTGCCATGAGGCTCTGTAACCGATTTTTGAGATCCAAACTCATTTAGTAATTTCTGATTCTCTCTCATATTCTTAGCGGCAGAATAGATACCATCAGACGCAATATGTACTCTTAAAGTATCGTTGGCTCCCTCAAAAATACGATATACCCGAATATCTCGTAGATGGCGTTCAATTTCATTATCTCTCATATATCCATTTCCACCTAAAACTTGAATACATTCATCGCAACAGTGCCATGCCGCTTCTGTTGCAAATATTTTACTCATTGAGGCTTCGAGCTGAAAATTGGTTATACCTCGATCCATGTTATTGCAAAGAATGTAAGCAATCGATTCAACTGCGTAATGAGCCATGGCCATTTTGGCTAGTTTTTCTTGAACTACTTGAAATTCGATTAATTTTTGATTAAATTGAATCCGATTGTTAGCGTGCTCGCTAGTTTTGCTAACTAACATCCTAATTAATCCTGATGATACTGCAATTAATCCAAATCGACCGTTATTAAGTATATTCATAGCAACTTTAAATCCTTCTCCAACTTTTCCTATCATATTCTCGACCGGAACTTTGACATTATCAAAATAAATAGACGCAGTATTAGACGATTTTAATCCCATTTTCTTTTCCGCTGGACCGCTTGTCACACCGGGAAAATCTCTTTCTACAATAAAAGCTGTTATGCCTTCAGTAGTCTCATCGGAATCTTCTTTTCTACGTACAACTCGAGCGAAAACAGTCATGATATCCGCAAAGCCACCATTAGTAATCCATATTTTATTACCATTTAATATATAATGTTTACCATCGTCATCAAGAACTGCTTTAGTTCGTAGAGAAGCAGCATCTGAGCCCGCCATAGGTTCCGTTAGGCAAAAAGCTGCTATCTTTTTACCCGTAGCTAGATCAGGTAGATACTTTTGCTTCTGTTCATCGGTGCCAAATAGTACAAGACCTTTATATCCAATCGATTGATGTCCACCTACGGTGACACTGAATGATAAATCGTATTTTCCAAATATTTCTAATATGCGAGCATATTGTGTATTCTTAAGTCCTAGTCCGCCGTATTGCTCTGGAGCTAGAAATCCCATTCCTCCAATTTCTTTAAATACAGAAAAAGCTTTTTCTAATGTGGTCTCAGCGATATCATTCTGTTTGGCATCGTGAACTTCAGAAAAGTATTTTTCAAATGGATCCAACATGATCTTTAATGTTTCTTTCGATTCATCATTTAAGGCATCTGGATAAGGAAATAGTTGATTAAGTTTAAGTTTACCGCTAAATATTCCTCTAGTGAATGTATCACTCTGATCCTTGTAACGTAAATTCTGTGTTGTCGATAGAAGACGCAAAGGTTTGGCCAATAATTGCCTTGGCAAATGGCGGCATTGACAAACAGAACGATAAAATTTATTCATTCTTACTGAGTTCATTCAGCAATTGATCGTAAAGAATTACAAATGACGAAGAAAATAGCCAGTAACCGTGAATATAAAACAATTTTCGTCGAAGAATAAGTTAGTAATAAGTTAGTAATGAATCTCGAGTAGTTGAAAGCGCTTCTCTTTCTGAAACGTGTAGATCAGTTTGCCCCGTTAGAATGAAAACTAAAAAGATAGTAAAGTGTTCTATCGTATCATCGTAAATAGTTCATACTAAATTAGATCAAATTTAGAAACAATATGATTTTCTAAAAGTAGTCGCGAATCTATAATAAGATATTATTTATGTTAAAGAATTAAGGCATTTGTCTCATTTTTCTCATCGCTATTTATTGTTATGTCATTGGGTCCTTTTGAATCATCGCCGCTTGCATTCTAGAATCAATCGAACTAAATTTGTAAGCAAACAATGCAGTTTACCAGAAATAGCCCTGAAGCCAAAAATAGGATATTGTTTTATTCAAAAATGGACATATTTGTATAAATTACTTTTATAGCCATTGGCTGTTCAAAAACGCAGACATAGGTTTCAAAGTATTGCTGCATCATTGGGGTTCCATTCCAGAGCAATCAAGTAATTCCGTTTCTTGAATATCACTCAAAGTATTGATTCTGTGAGAAATAGTTTTAATATTTACTAGTTTACATCCTATACACGACAGGCAGCGGTTAAATTGTAAATATGTTAATATTCTTTCGTTTCTACTTGATGTCGTCAACGAACTCAACGATAAATCTTTAATCTTTATAGTCAAGCCATGATATTATTGACAATAGTTTTGCTTTCAAATGCCATATGTTCATTATGAGTAAATTGTTAGCAGTAAGTTTGCCAACACCTTTTCAGGAAAAACAATCTCTTATTTCATTTCTTTACTGTCAGTAATTGCTTGCTCCGTATATTTTACATTGATGAAACAGTTTCCTGAGTATTAAGTACACCGAAATGTTTGATTGCAGTACGTTTAATTCTACAATTTTATTACAAGAGGCAATCATTTACACTACACTATAAATTACTTTTAGTTTGAATTCCCCATAGATATTGTCAATATTTCAATTGGCAAATCAATATTTGCAGAGATTGGATTACAGCATCACTCGAATCCTACATACTATTAGTACCTAAAGTTAAAAGCATCCATGTAATACCGTACCAATAAGAAACATCAATCTTGATAGCATTTGCTATGAATATCAGCTTTAAGGGCAATGTAGTATTGCAGGACGTTTAAAATCGGATTAGTGGATCAGGTGCTATTGATATGTTCAAGTGCATCTAATATTTACCAACATTACTATTATGCTAGTTAAATTAAAGGCATTCCAAGAACTCAAATACAGTATTAAACCTTGTGTTGTCATTTCAGCTTTTTACAACATTAATGTATGTAGAAAGTGCACTAGCAATACTAAGGGAAACACGAGAAAATGTAAACTAGTCGCTATTCTTAATAAGCAAGTAATGATAGGGTGATGGCTGGTATGTTGCAATTAGGGGGTAATTACAAAACTCAATCATTGCACCTTGATAGTTGCTGCTACTTCTGGTATCGCTATTAAGAGATTAATTGCATCAATTATCAAAATCAATCATCATTTAATATGTAAGATAATTTCATATCATTTTAAGCCGTCGATTACTTTAAACATTAGTAGTGAATATATGTTATGGCCAATGTCGATAATGCCCGCGTTCTTGTTACCAGGAAAAGCTTTCATGCACATCTCACACTGTATATCTTTAAGTGTTCAATCTTTAGATCAGATTTGATGGAGTTTATCTATTTGTTATAACATTTAAAGTCAAGTAATAGAACATATCTATGGTTTAAATTTTAATTAATCTAGTTGTTACGATGCGTAACTTTAAAAGGATAGTTTTATTTTATGTGCACCAGGAGTTTCTGACGAGACTATAAAAGGCTGGTGCCTGAAGATCACTTTTTAGTTAGTTAGTCGGTTAGATAGCCAACTAGTTTATCAATTGCTATTGAATTGTAAAGACTATAATCTTGGATGTCAAGATTCTTTCAGTAATAATAAATGGTAGTAAATCTCTGACTACCTCGTCTACACTATCTGTGACGCTATATTTATACTATAGCATTCGGTCATTGGAACTAAATTATTTGGTGATATAGCTAATTTCGCCTCTTTATGTCAGTAAGTGGCGTTCTCCGCAAGGATTAGGGTGTGTAGACTACTTTGTCACTAGTGGTGTGCGACACTAGTACATCATATAAGTTAATTGCAATGGTAGCCAATTCATAATGATGACAGCAAAATTGCCAAAAAGCTTAAAATTGGAGATAAGTAGAAGAGGTTATAAATAAAATATCACTCCTATATGCATTGATTAGACTAGCTAGAATTATTATTTAGTGATACCCTTAAATTAAGGCCGCCGTTCATTCCTTCTTATTATTATAGCATTTGCCGACTTTATTAAAAAGCTATGGTGCCGTAATGATAGCAATTCAATAATAAACATGCCCCTTAAGTTCGCCAAATAGTCGAAGGATTTACTAAATAAATAATCACTCATAATATTCAAATATCAGTTGAAAATCTTATCCTGCCGGAGCAACTTTTACCTCAAAATTAGTAATGCAGTAGAACTCATTCACGCTCGTTATACTTCCCGTATAATATACGGCCTGTATATACTCGTATTTGTACTTTTATTGCACGGTTCAAGCTTGCAGTTTTGTAGTCGACTGTTGAATTGAAATGACTAATTAATTATCTTATCATATGTGAAATCATTTTTATTGAATAAAACGCTATACACCATAGGTATAAAGTTCAATTTTAGGCTCTTTCAGGAGTAGTATATGTTTTGTCTATATAAACTTCTAGACTGGCACTTGACTTGATCGATCGGATATTGTGACCTCCTATCGTCAAATGCTATTTGAGTAAACCATGATCTAGTAGGTGGAGCTTTCTAGCAGTCTACGCGAATTGTCTAGATAAATAAGTATCATTTTCTACTGTAATTCATGGCCTAGTATGTGGTCTGTTCTAGTAGCCTATGATATCAGTTCTAGAATATGGTTGGTCTCTTTCTAGCTCTCTAAATGGTTCACACGGCCATCAACCTTTGTAACTCCAAGGCCGTGGAAATTAAGAAGATAGTTTACTGTTAATTAATTATGAAATATTCTATACAAATATTTGATAATATAACCTTGCCCCATGGGCTGACCCTATTTAGATGATATGAATGTCTATTTTGGCCATTCCATTAACCTAGGCCATTTCTTGGCCTTGTTTAGCTAATTAAATAGCCCTTTACTATTAGTTATCAGGGATCCATTGAAGTGATATAAGATCACATAGCAATCGCATTCCAAATTTCTTCTAAGTAAGAGTGGCCTAATTGCCAAGTATATCACACCGATGGTAACATAAAGCATATATTTATCCAATTAATCTCTTTCTTCATTTCTAGTCAAATTCAGATATTTAATTGATCCATATTATAATTTACAGTTTAATTATCTGAATCAAAATTAGGCTGGGTTTATCTGTTCCTATTTTCTACCTATGATTATCATAAACTTCGAATGTTCTAAGCTCTTCACAGTACACACCCACTAGCAAAGTAATGCCCTTTCTATACTCTACGACCTCAATAGGCGGAAACTTTTCAATTACATCGTTTAACATGCAGTCAATTCAACCAGATCAGTTCTAAATGATAGTATTAGACTCTAATATTCTATCAAATTAATCGAAATTTTCTAAAAGAAAATAGTAAATTTAAATTTCATCGGTCCAAGATTCAACGTCTAGACTCAAATCCTGTCAAACATCAAGAAAAGTACATGAAATAATATAACGGGCTAAGATACATAGCCTAGTCTCAGCCATCATTACCCATTCATAACATTTATACTGGCATAATATAACAGAACGTACGGGCTAACTTTTTCTTTTCTAGTCAAGTTTTCGCATTAGATTGGTAATTAATTCAGTACTTTCATCTACTACATCTTCTTTTATCCTTTCTGATTTAAACTTACCTAGTGGAAGTTATATCTCAAGCGAATAGATAGTATGGTAAGTAATAAGGCCCTACTGCAGTCATTCTACAAGCTTCAATATATCCATAATTATAATCGAACTAAAGTCTTATCTAAATAAACTATGCATGTACCGAAGCAAAGTTCAATCATCAGCTATACTCTAAATTCGTATCATATTAATTTGGAAAACTATTATAAATTCTATAGAATGCAAAGATTATCTCCTTACATATTCATCTACCTGTGCAGTAATAAAGTCCAATATCCATTAATATTAACTACTGTGATAATCATAACAAAATAATACCGTAGCTCCAAATTTAAAATTATAAAAATAAATCAATCGCTTAACTAAATATTTATCTAATAAAAGTTAACATTAAGGTCATTATCAAGTTATTATAACTAACCAATTACTCTATGAAAAATAATGTTATACTCTTTATTATACTTTAAATGTATATTAGAAGTACATATAAATACAGTATTTATTAACAGCGAATTATGCCATATATGTTATTATTACCCTGAAAACTTTCGATTAAATCTGGTGATTCTTAACCTATTTAGTTTAAAGATCAGTTCTAGTTAAGTTTTCTATTTCTTCTAGCATTTAAAGACGAACAATATATCTTGTTTACAGTTCAAGTTTCTTATTATGTAAATATCATTAAATAGTTATCAGTCTACTTTTGAAGCATAATTATACTGTACGCTATACACCTGTACATGGTGGAAGATTTTGAGCAGTAATATTATACAAATACAAAGGAGAACTTAATGGCCATATTTTACGTCAAATGCATGAAGTATTACCAGCAAGATGTCATTACAATAGTAGTATTTAGAAATCCAGACGGTATGCAGCCGTGAATTATCGCATACATTGCGTATGATATATCCTACTGATGATTATAGTAGCGTAATAATTTAAGAACAAAGTTTGGAATAAATCGTATGCAAATGAGGGTATCGATAAGATTATTGACCTCGATCTATTTATTTTATAGGCCCATTTTAACTGTCATCAGCTGATTACTTTATCGTAAGAAATAGCTATCGTCTACGTCGATATTTGTAATTAGAGCATGCCTCTACCTAGCCTGTGATGTTATAGTCATTTATATACGAATTAGTAAGGAAAGTGAAAATTCGTGTTAGTTCTCTACCTCTTATGAAATTATCTGAAGGGCTATCGTGTGACTTTCCTAAGTAAAAATTACGAAGTCGTCTAATTTTATCGATGCTATTTTTGTAATAAATTTTTTAAAACAAAATGGATCAAAACAATACTATTCTCGTTTATGTAACTGTGAATTATTTCTAGTGCTGATATAAATCAATATGCAATAGTATTAATTGATGATGCTTCAGATACTTTTACTATAGTATAAAGTTTATTTAAAACTCTAATCCATTATTACCAATCGAGATTTACATCGACGAATAACCTAATTACTACGTATATTTAGTAGCAAATCATGCACACAAAATACCATTAGTAAATTAAAATTGATTTATGCATGTTATTAATGTAATTGCGCGCACGTTGCAGACATTAGTACTCGACTAGTGACAATATCCGAGAACTGAATAGGCTAAATCAGAAAGTGGACAATCGTATTGCCAACTAGAAACCTAACGGCCGAGTAGCTACTATGGCGTCGTTTTGACTAATGTCGCTTGCTATTTGAGAGAAAGCTGCAAAAGTGGTTAAATTTTCCGGATCTTTAATTGCTTGAAGATCTCTTTTTACGCGTGTACAGCCCTATAGTAAAAATAAAAGCAAGAATGGTATTGTAAAAATGCAGATGATATAAAAGAGTAGTAAAAAGGAAATCAAGTCTTGTACTATAAAATCACCTCAACTACAAATGTCTTAGCTAATAGCTGCTCGTGATTAGAGCTTGCCAAGCCTTTATTAATGGCACCAGTAGCTCTAGTAAGTACAGCAGTCATAGCAAATAAATCGACAGCAGAATTAGCCAAACGTGTCAATAAAAATTGCTGATTGCCAATATCTTTGCCATGCTTGTGTAGCAATAGTTTGACTGCTGATGAAAATTCTTCAACACGTTGTGTAACTTTCAATGCAGAATCACGTAAAGGAGTGGCAACGGCTTCAACTAAATCACTATTACCTTGCTCTTTATCTGATTCTTGCGATCCACAGTCTTTCATTGATTTCTGACTCTCTCTCATTCTCTTAGCGGCTGCTTGAATACCAGTAGACGCAACAAATAATCTTAAAGTATCGTTAGCTCCCTCAAAAATACGAAATACCCGAGCATCTCGTAAATGGCGTTCAATGTCATTATCTCTCATATATCCATTCCCACCTAAAACTTGAATACATTCATCGATACAATACCAAGCAGCTTCTGTTGTAAATATTTTACTCATGGCGGTTTCTAGCTGAATATCCGTTATACCTCCATCCATATTATTGCAAAGGAAAAGTGTAATCGATTCAATCGCATAATGAAACATGGCCATTTTGGCTAATTTTTCTTGAATCGCTTGAAATTCGATTAATTTTTGATTAAATTGAACCCTAGTGTTGACGTGATCACTAGCCCGGCGAACTAACTCCCGAGTTGTGCCCACTAAAGATGCATTTATTCCAAATCGACCAGTATTGACAATACTCAGAGCAATTTTAAAACCTTCTCCTACTTTCCCTATTACATTCTCGACTGGAACTTTGACATTATCAAAATAAAGAGCTGCAGTATTACACGACCTCAAACCCATTTTCTTTTCTGGAGGACCATTGGATACGCCAGGAAAATCTTTTTCTATAATGAAAGCTGTTATGCCTTCAGCCGTGTCTTCAGGATCTTCTTTTCTACGTTCAACTCGTGCAAAAACAGTGATGATACCGGCAATGCCACCATTGGTAGTCCACAATTTATTACCATTTAATATGTAATGCTTACCATCGTTATCCAGAACTGCCTTAGTCCGTAAAGCAGCAGCATCTGAACCTGCTGTAGGTTCCGTTAGGGCAAAAGCTGCTATCTTTTTACCTGCAGCCAGATCAGGTAGATATTTTTGCTTCTGCTCTTCAGTACCAAATAACACAAGGCCTTGATATCCAATAGATTGATGTACACCCGCAGTAATCGTAAATGATAAATCATACTTTCCAAATACTTCTACCACTCGACTAAATTGGGCATAATTGAACTCAAGTCCACCGTATTTCTCTGGAGCTTTAAGTCCCAGTCCTCCAATTTCCTTAAACATAGCAAATGGTTTTTCTAGAGTAGTTTCATCGGTATCGTTCTGTTTGGCATCATGAACTTCAGCAAAATACTTTTCGAAATTATTTAACATTATCCTTAATGTCTCTCTCGCTTCGTCATTTAATGTATCAAGATAAGGATGGAATCGTTTGGTTTTTACTTTGCCGCTAAATATTCCTCTAGCGAATGAATCATCTCGATTCATGTTATCGAAAAGTTGTGCAGTCGTCGATAGAGGGTGTAATAGCTTTATTAATGATCCTGTCCGCATGAATTCATTTTGACAGGCAAAACGAAAAACCCTATACATTCTTTCTGAACTTAGCCGATAGTGGAACATGATGACTTACCAATGATCAAGAAAATAATCAGTAGCGCTTTTATTCGAAAATAGTTTCCGTCCAAAGATGAGTAATTCGTTGCAAAGTCTTTCCTTTCTTTAGCTTGGAAATGAATGCAATTTCGATCTGCCCAACGATTGAAAGCAAAAAGAATAACATCCAGTCAAAATGATTGCCCTATTACCCCTTACATTCAAAAGTCAACTTGGGTCAAATTTATAAACAATACGTAACTAGAAACTGTCGGATCATCGATCTAGACTAAATTATTGGTACAATATGGTAATCATGATCCTTGATGTAAATGTTCTGTTATTCTAGCACCTAACCTTTGCCACTATTTTTCTTGTATATATACCTTCAACTGAAGCCTTCCGCTGCTTTGCTGTAATAGTATCCTTGTAAGGAGGACGATCCAATCTCCGCGTAAAACAAGCAGCCTTTGCCGGTATCATAGTAACTTTAATTATATCGAAAATTATTGAAGGCGTGCAAAGGTGATATCATTCAGTGAAATCAATTGCTATCATCACATTACCCTAAATTACATTCAAGGATCTCTAGAGAATTTGAGCAAAAGTAATTTCATAAGCATGTTATTTATTATTATTCTAGTAAGGTCAAATGATATTAATGCAGGACCCCATACTAAGACCACCAATGGAAATTATTTATGTTAAGGAGTCATTCAAGATACTGCACATAGCGCTTGGCAAATAAATCCAGACATTGAGATTGATTCCTTTTCTTTGTTATATTTCACTAGATATCATAAATTTACTTGCAGCCTTCAAGTAGCCTTCAGCACCCAATGACAATAGTCTTTTTCATTTAAATCGAAATAAGCCAGCCATCATGACAAGATTTATAACAGTAAACTACTGTACCGGAGGGTAATAGCAATTTGCAGGAGAATAGCAATCTTTGTTCTGCATGAATGAAAAGCATGGAAATCTCTCCCTATTCAATAGCTCTATAATAGTAATACATTCACATTATTAATCAGTAATTTGTAAGATGCCAAGTGGTGCTACGTATAAATTATAAAAGTATGCAAGTAATTTCATTTCTTGACTTAAATACAAGCAACCAAGTATAACGCAATAGAACTAGAACTATGGATTATTTCATATTGATCATCTTTTCGCCATTCAGCTGAATCCAACAGCGAATGGAAACTAAAGATAGTAATAGATTATGCTGACATATATGCGTACAGTAAACCTGTAGGAGGTGAATAGCAAGTGAATGATTTATGATTTAATACGAGGCAAAATGATGGGTAAAATGCCAGTAAACAGCGAAACGTCGTCTTGTACTGTTTTGCAGTTTTTGTTTAATTAATGCTTTCACTGCAATGGTTGAAAGCTTTTCATAAGTCTTTATTTATACTACTCACCTACTTTGCAATTTAGCATGAACTACAAGTTTACAATCATCAATATGGCTTACTTGATGCAGTTATAGATTAAATACTATCTTACTGCGTTATCTATCCTTAGTACCTGTAGTGCATGGATTGTAAACCTTAGGTTTCCAATCGATAATTCAAAATTTGAGCTATTCAAATACTTTTGTAACGCATAGTACTATACATAAGAGCCTTTTCACCATATTGGCCGTAATTAAAACATATTTCATCAAGACATTCGGGTACAGTTCTACACTATATACTATCATTGAATATCCTTAGCATAGAACTGCTGAAATGTACTGAAATCGTAATATTGCAGTAGCATCCTAACATGATTATATGACCATCTGAACAGAACGAGGCATCGATATCCCAATAATATACTGTCATATCTGCCTTTTTATCTAAAATCTGGCTTTATCTACTTTGTCTAATTTAGCCAGTAGCATTCATTAATACTAACTTAATCTAATGAAAATTAAATATAGTCCTTATATATTTTTAATACGATTATACGACCATCTGAAAATGCTGAGGCATAGATAGCACAGTGACTTACTGTCACCTCTCCCTTTATATCAAATTTTACATTATCTACAATTTACAAGTTGTTACAAGTTAACCAGCTAAATCCATTAGTTAATGCTAATCTAATCTAATCTAATCTAAGTTAGATATAATCTTTATGAGGCATAGATAACGCAGTGACGTACTATACGATAGATTAAAATACGACAGCAAGCATCGTCATGTCTCCTTTTTTTTTATCAAATTTTTACATTACAACTTAACCAGCAACTTTCATTAATACGAACATAATCACGTAATCTGACGAGAGTTAAATATAGTCCTTAAGCCAATCTAATACGATTACACGATCGTCTGAACATGTCGAAAACGCAGTTCATTCTATACAGTTTGCTAGACATGATGATATGCAACAGTCCCAGGTACATGTGCTACCACATCATGCAGTGTCAAATTTACTATAGTAGTATTCGCTAGTCCATTTGCGTTCAGATTGCTGCTAAACATAAAACTACATTTCCACGATTCCACCAATAGCAATCATACGATGCCTTCATTACTTACAAAAATAACGAACAGAAACAATTATTGAGGCAACATTCCTTTTCTTCCAACACTAGCTAAAACTTTGATATCTCTTCTGACGATTTCAACACTAGCAATCACTTCCCTATCAGGAAATTTATTGGCCATGACCTTAGCAGATAAATAGACGTGCAATGATACGAACATGAAACAGAACGATATCCGAAGTCCTAGCTATCCCTACTGTTCTATTTCCAAAGCGACAATCCTAGTACCAGCATGGTCCTTTCTTTCATGGTCTCGAGACCATTATTGCTTCTTTCGATTCGCCAGCGAAGTACATTGTCGATAGACCTTTCGGAAAGATTTAAGATAATAATATTAAAGGATAAAATTTATAGCTTTAATTCGATAACGTACTTGACAACAAATATTAAAGTGTCCTCAAATATAGACAGTAATTAAATATGAGACAAACTCTATTTTTAATAAAAGGGAGTTAACAGATTTACTTGTATGGCAAGCCTTCATACTAGCAATTAAACTTGTTATCTTTCTAATCATGAAAATGATATTACTACTTCACTCAATTTACGATCCACTGTCTCTCCCAAATCAATTTAGGACTGTGCCTTACCTACTTTTCTTAATTAGATAAATGAATGTAATTCGTAATAATTACAGTAAAGGAAGTATAGGATGGAAAGTCTTCTAGACACTTGTTTCAAGGGCAGAATACCCCCAAGCTTAATTATTAGCCACATTCAAATAGTTCGATGCTATCGTATACCCATGGTAATCTTGCTTTAAATAGCTCATCAATTCATCATTATTGTTAGCCAGAAATGATTAATTGCTTATTATTATATTAGGGACCACGGGACCTTACGTTTTTCGCATTTTTGGTCCTTTCGAGAAAAGTCGTAAAGACAAAATATTTTTGAGGCTCTCGATCATGCTTTACTGGTTTTTCTTAATTATACAAATGAATAGCATTAGTAATTGTTGAATGAAAGCCAATCTAAATTTAGGTTGAAAAGTCTTTAATCAAGTCTCCTAACATCATGGGAGAATACGTTCAAACTTATCAGCCACTATGAATTAATTTCAGGTACTATCGAGTACATCTGATAATTTTTCTTAAACTGGTTTCTATTATTATGTCTTTCTTCTTCACTGGTAGACCGCCATTAGATTTTTATTCTATAATGGCTGCCAACCAGAAATAATTGATAGCTCAATACTATACCTTATTTCCTTTTCTCAATTAGCCAAAAGAATAAATTTCGTGTAGATAATAATTGGATTGAAGTAATTAGGAGGCCATACAGTAATCTAAATTGGGGGGGGGGGGCGAAAGGTCTTCTATCAAGGTTCAAATCATCATGGAAGAATACCTTCAAGCTTATTATCGGTAATTAAATAATTTTAGTTACTATCGTGCCTTTATGGAAGCCTTCCTTATGCTGGCTTCTAATATTACGATACCACTCTGTGCCAGCAGATAGGCTTCAGGCCTTCAACTCATCACTGTGGGTAGCCAGAAATGATTGATAGCTTGACGTGATGTTTGTTTATTTGTTGTTGTTTTTGTTGCTAATACTGTTATTTACTTATGCCAAAATTGCCAATAGCCTCCAAGTATAGTACTGTATAGAATTAAAATTCATCTTTATTAATGTAATCATAATAGACTGAACCTATTTTTAGGCGTACGTCATTTCAGTGTAAATGAATATATAATATAATTATAATGATAGCACATTATTATAATTAAGGTATTAAGGATATCTACAGTAATCGTATAAGAATTATTTCAAAAAAAGTATGAAATTTGCAACTCGGTAAATAATTCTATTTACAATTCTACGAAGCAAACAACCTATTACGTGTAGTGCAATGATTGTAAATATGCAAAGAAGTTATTTAGGCAATAATCAAAAAACAATTGCAACATTATTTTCTCTCTTTTATTAATGGATCCCATTAACAGAATCATTACACACATGATTGACAACTATATGACAACGTGATTAAAAATATTGTATAATCTTTCCATTTATAAAGTAAGAGATAGACTATGGCTAGTCAATCTAATTCGATGGATTAAATAGACGATGATGAAGTATTTTAGTTACGCTCCTTGATATAGCCGATCACACCAATTCGAAATTTATAGACAATTAGAATCTCATTACATCTTTATACAAAGATAATATAACTACAGTTCTACTCCAGCCGCGTACAACTACTAAACACTTCTAGAACGAGCTACTAGAATAATCGAAGCAGCCAGCTTATGTATTTTGCATAGCACTCGGAGCTACAATCGGCATAACAACATTCTACTGTATTTTATACAAATTTAAATTATTATTAATTAATAACAACATTTTACGGTGCACCATCATTAATCCAATACGGATACAGCTACAGTATTTGTGTAGACATTATTTCTGCTATTTAGAGTACTTGAATTACAGTTCTATGTTTACCTCTAACCTTAACCTTAATAGTACCTCGACACGCAACTGTACATACTCAGTAGTACTCTAGCATAGGATCTTCCACTACAGTCTACATTCATAAGCTACTAAAGTATACCCGAAGATAAATATAGAAATTCACGCTATCATGATCATACGGAATATGGCTAATAGTCTACAATCTCAATAATAAGTTACGTCACAAACTCCTAATTCCTAATCAAGCCGGACCTACTTAATAGTTCAGCCATTCTAGCGTAGTAATATACATATAAGATCCAAGTAGTTAAATTCAGTGGCCAACAACCAAATTCTCTAAATTTCTATTAAGCTTAAAATTTGTTAGCAAATTGACCAGTCGTTCTTATGCAGCAATAATGATGGCACACAATTTCAAATTTTAAGGCTATTTAATATTACATGCTATGACCGTGTCATTTTTTAATTATTCTAGTGCATTACTCTAGAATGTGCCTTCTCTAATTTATGCAAGGATAAAGAGCATTTTTATTGCTTCTTTGAGAATCTCTTATAAAATATAATTTTTATATTATTTGCTCACCTCCATTCTAAGCTCTATCTTCATTTATTCCTCATATATACGTAACTAAAATCTAACACAATAACTGCTTTGATTGACAACGTAAATTTACGTCAGAGCTGGAATGTAAGGCTCTATAGTAATGTATTATAAACTCTCGGCTGAACCTCTAATAGAGGTAAATAATCATCCATGATAGAAACAAGTTCCTAATTGTCTCATTTAGTTAGACAATCAAGGTATCATAGTACTACTTTCTTCATAATAAATGGTCAAACTTAAAATCAAGTAGATTTACAACGCTATTTTGTATTATATAAATTTGATTAGTTCCCTAGTTAAGGTCAACAATATTTTCAGGCATGTCACGGCGTTAAAGACTAGCATTAAGTAGAAGTTCATGATTTATAGCTTGCTATTAGGTTACAGATTATAACAAAACATATATATTTCATTTTCTCGTAAGAGCAAGTGAATTAGTGTAATGATTTCGGTCTAATTACAATAGTTATGTGTTCGGAAATTCAGTAATAGTACAGTGTAGAACTGTACTGTATGTCTTAATAAAGTAAGTGTCGATTATATTATTAGGGTTTAGAGCTCATGTACTGGTATCTACATACATAATTTATAACAGAGCTCAAACGTTAGATCTAGTTCTGATCATGGTGGCCTCATATTAAATACATCTCTATCAATTTAAGGTACAGCTTAAAATCATACAGACTTAGGACTCGGCATAAATGATAGTCATGCCATTTATTAGTATTAATTCCCATGTATGTAAACTCTGTAACTGCTTAAAAATATGGTTAGAAAGCTCAAGAGCGAATTACTTTTGTTTGCTGAGAAGAGAGTTTGTTAATTTATCATTTATGCGTAAGAAGAAGGTCTATATCGCTGTTATCGTAAAAGTTAAAGAAAAAATTCAAAGTTACCACAGAGAGCTAATCTTGACAGGTAATTCGGGATAGAAGAAGACCGAGAAATATCTCCGGTTATCTTTGTAGTAGAAATGTGTTGGTATGAGTGACCAGCCATAATCGCCATATTTCCTGCTTGAGCTATTGTGCCTTCTAATTTATGAGTAATACCAAATTCTTAAAATATAACCTCAACTATGTGATTGATTGATTTCTAATCCAGTGTGACGATATTTTGTTACATATTTGGGTAACATATTCACTATTTGTTAGCCTCCACTTGCAATAATAAGGTTTTTAAAGCACCAATTAAAACAGAAAGGAATTCTAGAAATTAGCTGCAATACTATTATAAAGTAATTAGATGGTATCTTTCTAACATGCAATACTCTGCACTGCACCTATGCAACCTTTTAAACTAATTAATTACGATATTTATGGAAAATGTACTAAAACTGACTTGTATGACATGATTAATTAATTTAATTATTTAATAAATATGCACCTACTTGATTATTGCGCATAAACCTTCTCATCGGCTAAAGAATTACGAAAGTCAATCATTGCAACAGAGTAAGGTTAAAATTATTACAGTATGTTGCACCGTAAAATACAAGACAGATTATCAATAATTATTAAACAATCCTATAGTATAAAATGCAAAGTATGAAACTATATCGATTACTTTCCTTGATGCACTGATATCATACTGAAAAAAATATTTCGAATCAAACATATTCCAAGTTAAAACTCTTTTCTATTTATATCATACTTAAAATGTCTCGCCTGAAATCCAACTTGAGTTATAAGCAGAAAAGGCTCATTTGTCAATATTCGGTGCAAAATCCCACATTACAACAAAAAGAAATTGGAGAATGGGCAAGAAGAAGGTTCTCCCTACCTTATAGGCCATGTCAAGGAACAATCTCACGAATGTTAAAGAAGAAAGATATTTACCTTAATGACCATGAGGGTATGATTGGCAACAGGCGGAAAACTCGAGCGGGAGGCAAAAGTGATCAACTTGATCAGCAGTTGGCAAATTGGGTGAAGCAATGCGCAAGTCGTGGGATCTTACTCACTGATGACTTAATTAAAAATAAAGGTAGACTACTAGCAGATTCCCTTAATATTACCAATTTAGCCTTTTCCAATGGATGGTTGTACTGCTTTAAAAAAAGACATGGAATCAAATTACGAAAATTAAATAATGGATCTGCATTTCCAATTCTATCACCAGTAGAAGATAATCCAGAATTTGCGCAGATTATTAGCCGTTATGAACTACAAGATATCTACAATATGGATGAAACAGGTTTATTTTATCAAATAACTCCTGATCAGGCACATTTTCTTAAGCTTGATGATAAAGAACGTAAAGGAAAGACAAAATTAACCATCGCTCTAACCGTAAATGCTGACGGTACCGATAAATTACTTCCTCTTGTTATTGGATGTTCCCAGAAGCCTCGTTGCTTCCGAAAGAAATCAGCTGAGCAATTCGGCTTCAAGTATAGATCTAATGCTAAAGCATGGATGACTACATCGATATTTACTGAATGGCTAATGGAAATAAATGATCATTTTAAACGTCAAAATAGACATGCATTACTGATAGTAGATAACTCTCCATCACATAAATATGATGAAACGCTATTAAGCCATGTCAAGATTTTGATCCTTTCTTCTAATACACCAGCTAAATATCAGCCAATGGAGTGTGGTATTATGACTAATTTTAGAAAGCATTACCGCTGCTTACAGGTAACAAATGCTCTAGAAAGAGATAAAGATGGCGACGTAGATATCTATAAAGTCGATCAATTATCGGCCATGAAATGGATTAAGGATGCATGGGATGAGGTTAATCCTGAAGTAATTGCTGAGAGTTTTCGTAATTCTAATATACTTTCTGTAGGATACTTCAGTTCTGTCCAGAAACTACCAGAGATCAAAGATAATGACTTTAATTTTTTATTACCAAATGTAAGTTTTCGAGAAACATTAGATATGTCTAGTCATATTACCCATCCTGCTGAAAATCAAGGAATGCATTATGATGGGATAAAGGGGGAATTTATAAGTCACAGCAAGATTAATGAAGATAGTGTAGAACAATCAATATTCTCTTCTAGTGCAATAACTAACCATCCTACAGTTCTTTTACAGTCAATTAAAATAGTTATTGATCATCTAAATCTCACGGATCCTGAACAAGCATATTTGCTCCCTGGATTACGTAAAATGCAAGAACAAATTCAAGAAAATAATGTTAGCTTGGAGGCCTTAAAGCCAATTTCCGCAACCTCTATTTTATCCGATATCAAGGAAATGCTTACAAAGTGTAACCTGTGATTGATAATATTTCACATTGCATAAAGTAGTACATTCGTCACCTGATAAAGTAAGGTAAATATAACAATATAACGATGTTAACTAAAATCTTGAGTAATTACCTAGTCTTCTTATCAGATTTTTGTAAGTACTATAATCGTAAAATTAGATCTGTTTGCAATGATACTTTATGCATGTCAAGCGATGATAAAACTTGCCTCTTTCAAATTCGGGTGCAGCTTTATTATAAAACCTTGAATTTGCATTTGCACCACGTATAAACTCGAGTTTATCGGCATATTAATGCAATATAGGCTATTTCATAGCTGCTATTCAAGAATCGGCGGTATAATGTTCATTATTGATAATGATAGCTGCTGCGTTCATGTATTAGCAGCAAGAGTAGGTTTATGAAATTACCTGGAACTTGTATAGCTTAAAAGTGACGCTATTTTCATAGTGTTGTACTAATACTGGTTCTGAATAGCTTTGATGAAATTTATTGATCTTGAAAAATTGATTCTAATTTTTTTGAAAGGACAGATATGCAGCACTTTAACACTCACTGGCGAATTGGGATTATTTTCTTCAATTAATATCTGTATTTGTTGATTTTTAGCACTTGTCAGGTTATATTCCAGATAGATAAAATTTACTGTAAACTATAACTTTGAGCTAAATTGAGCATATTCTCTACCGATAATTAATTATCTAAATTAGAGAGAATTATTGGATAGCTTAACGTCATGTAAATAAGCTGTAACTTTCCTAACTTGAGTACTCAATACTAGATCAAGCCAATGTATCCTATAAATTAGATGGCTAGAGCGACATAACATGTAGAAAACTTGCCGTGCAGCTATTTCTTCGAAGAAAAGACTCGAATATTAAATTTAAAGAATTTTGACAGAACAGTTACACGAGTTGAATTTCTGTAAATGTAATAAAGATGTCGCGAACGTTTAGTGTAGCGGAATTCACTGCGAATAAATCATAGCTAGGTCCGTCAGTTGCTTATCATTACATATCAGCAAATGTTTTGGTTTTCAAAATTGAAACGAAAAAACTTAGTAAACCCGCGAAATATTATTTAATTTCTTTACGTAAAAGGCCGTTATTGCTTTTCTAGTCAAAATAGAAGTAATAACCATGTAAAATGAGAATCATACTAGAAAAATCATCTAAGTAGATAAAAAATTTGAAATTCTAATAAACGAATAATTAGATCCCTCAAGGTTTCGGCTGCATGGTTTAAACCTTTGCAAATTTAAATCAAAATTATTAATTTATATGCCAGATTGTTTGGACTTGCCACTGTCTCGATTTCTTAAATATACAACATTTTATTCAAATAAGAATTCAACTTGTAGGGCTTATTCTACGAGAAAATTATGATAATATACACATACGTACGAGTTAGACCTAGATATATCTTACTCAAGCCAAGAAAAGCATACAAGAACTAAGCTAGTGTAATTCGCTAAAAAGTTTTGCTAAAGCTTGAAGATTTCGCTTGATTCAGAAGACTTCAAGTCTCCATACCGCTCAAGAAATAACTGATTTACAATTGAAAGTTCGGATATACTGTAACCATATATTTATCTAAGACCGATAAATAACTTTCAAAACTATCGGAGAATTTTCTTTCAAGGTATTCTCCCGTTGTTGAGCTTGGCAATCGTCTAACTCAAAATCCGAGTTATTAAAATTGAGCAAATCTCTAACATGACATAAGATCAGCAATCATGAAATATGTTATAAGTATAATAGACTATTCTACTTGTTAATGCTACCATAATTCAATTACTACTGTAATAAGCTGAAATTACTACACCCATTTAAATCGAATAGGATCTGGAATTAGGGATGCTATGGTATATAGAAACAATAGAGAATCTTTATTTACGATACGCACTAAATAGAATATTTTAGCAATATCTTCAATCCTATTTCATTTATGCTAGACGAACTTGCTATAATTCAATAAAGTTCCGTATTGCTTTATTCCCATTTCAATAAAGCCCTCATTTTGTAATTAATTAATAGTTAATAACGATACAAGAAGTATTCTAAGCAATATAGGCAGAGGAACATAATCCCTAAATTAATTAGAATATTATATAAATTTCACTATTGAAGCTGATAGTTAAAGCTTTTTGACCGAATTGATTTACTTTAGGTACAATTGGTCCTATTGTAATTAATTTTTAGTATTATACACGCCACTACCCGTTTAACATCACATTTATTTCAATTTATTATTGAAATGAGAACTGCATATACTTATAAAAAACAAGTCTAAAAATTTAAATAAAGATCTATTAAAAGGCATTTTATACAACTCAGTAGCATTTAAAATCACCAAACTCTAGACCAATGTTTACTAACCGAAACCTGCAGTACTAATATAAAGAATTACTATCAAGCCTAGTCAGTTTAATAACACATCGTTCTTCTGTATACACTTTAACTTAAGATTCAAAATAAATTACTCATTCACATACAATTCACTAATTCATCTTTCACTTAATCGATTCATTTTATTCAAATACGATAAAAAAATGAATTCTGAATTTAGCATAATTAATGAGACTCTGTCGGCAGTAAACACTGTGTCTCTGTGAACTTAATATAGTGTTTTGATAAACAAATCGTCTACCACATATAAAGTAACCTAATTAGCTTGAATTTAATTAGTTCATTAAATTACACGTAGCTTATTTATCCCGTTAAATAGCATACCAAAATAATCAGATTTCTGGCACGAGTAAACATCAATAAGCTCAGTTGGTTCCATTAGACATCCAGCTTAATCACCTTTCAGTTAAGATAATTCATCAAGTAACATTTATATTCTTATTACAACTCTAAATTTTGTAACAAGGAAAAATTAAAACTACTACAAAAATTAAACACTACCGGTCGCTGTCTAGTTTGTCTCCCTGAAACCTCTCTATAGTACGACTCTAAATATTGACGATCTTCTATCAGCAAAGGAATAGTAATTCTTCTAGTCTCTTTTTAGATGAACTAAAGCTAAAAGTTACTAAAATGTCTGCCAATTGATAGTTCATCTACATAAGCTTGAGCTATAGCGATATTATCAATAATTAGATATTATTATTAAACGATACACTTAGCTATCAAAACATGTAAGACTTCATAGATAAATTAATATCAAAAGGTTTCAACATAAGTAATCTTACGAAAACTATTTTACGGCTATTAAGCTTAAAGTTACTCCGCGACATTCCTGTATAAATTAAATAATGAATGTACCGTACTTGCAAATTAATGCAACTCTGTCAGAAGCTACGTAAGCTTAAAATGTTAAAAAATAAGATTATTTATTTTCAAAAAAAGTTATCTAATTAGCTTTAGCTGAATTAATTGATTAGAGTAATAGATAATCTAGCTCTTACTTATGCAAAGCCTGCAACAGATTAATGAAGACGATTAGGCTACTTTAATAGAAATGAACAATTTATCCCTTTAATTTTCATTTCTATTAAAGTAGCCAAATCGTCTTCGGCCTACTTAGCTACGAAAGTAAATGTCTAATCTTGTACTCCCATATCTTCATTACCATACTGCGTACTATTCTTTCTATATGATGCAAGTTACTTAAACATAATAAATAGGATTCAAATATAGTTCAATTTTCTTAAGCTAATACATTATCTTTCGACCTGATTATGTATTTTCAAACTTCACATAAAACACATAGTCAGAAAGCTTATAAAATTTATCGGGCCCTAAAGAAGTAGATGCTTATTTTGCTTATTCGAATCAAAGTAATAAAGGTTTCTGTAATCGCAAGTAATTGATTGAGGTAAAATTAAAGTAATTATAATCAGATTAATTCAATAATTCTATAATTTTAATTATTGTGAGACTGTAAGAGCTTTATCCGAAGCTAATCAATAGAATAGCGATGACTGTTATTTTGAACACTGACGTATTTATTTACATATAAATCTAATCTTTTCCATGCTTTTACCTAATATTATGACATTAACATGGTTATAAATATCATCTTAGACCTCTGTTATTCTCAGTTAGTATTATATCAACGCAGGAACAAAAAGATAAAGTTATTACTTCTTTTAAGTAATAAAGTCAAGAGTACACTATTTAAAATCGCTATCAAAATAGCTAACCGTAGCAGCATAAATTTGTTTGAAACTGATTATTATAGAGGTTCTTTGATTTGCTATTCTGCTGTAAAATACTGTACGACGTCATCAATAATGCCAAGGAGGTGAGAAAAAGGACATAAATTTTAATATAATGAATGTCTTTATTCACTTTATTCAAAGAGATCATAGTAATCATAATAGCCTTCAAGCACTAATAAATATGTTAAGAAGAGAATTTCAACCGTCAAAGTAATTAATCTAAATAAAATGAGTTTCTATTACAACTAGATTATAGCCATGTTACCGTTAAAAGAGCTTCAATTTGGAGCGATATATTTATTACTGTTATCCTTTGACAAACTGATAACACCATAGGATAGAATTAAATACTGGTATAATTAAAGATAAAGTATACAGATATTGCCCTTAGACAAT